TTGATACTAAAACAAAGTAAAACTCATAAAAATTATATTCAAAAACTCAAAGACTCAAAAAATTATTTTGGTAGAATTATGATAGAAGTGAGGGGGGGGGGGGGTAGGTATTTATAGAATTTTTGTTTGTGTAGCAACAGATTTGCATTGAAATTTTACATCGGATTTGCATTGAAAAAATTTTTACATCGACATTACATCGAAATAATGAAAAATTCAATTCCTCGTAAAATCGATGTAACCGTTACGTCACAATTACGATGAAATTATATATCGTCGTGATTTCATCGTAATATCTTCGTAAATTTACGACTAATTTACGACCAAAGTATTTATGTCGAATTTACGATGAAATTTGTTGACGTCGTAAATTCGACGTAAATGTAATGTAAATTTGCATCGAATATAAATCGACGTAAAATTTCGATTGAAATCAGTTGTTTTCTTATAGGATTTCTTAGAAACTACTGGAGCTATCATGGATTAGACAAACCAACGTGTTTCCTTTGCCAATGTCGACAAAGATGTCTTTTGTTCTGTTATCCCATTCAGATGTGGAGGAGAAAAACGCTACAAAACAAGTGCTTATAATCCAGAAAAGCAATAGAGTGATAAAGAAGCAAGTGAGGAAAATGAAATAATCTAAAAAAAGACTTGTTTTAGGACATGATCTTTCTTAAACTGAGCACATCTCAATGCTAATGTCTAGGTAAAAAACTTTAGACAAAAGTGCTTAATGGGAGGCAATCCATTATATGTATTTTTTTTTAAGTGTTTTTTTTCTATTGATTATTTTATTTTTCTTAATTTCAGCTATCATAAAATACCAAAAAGACAAAACGAAGAATCTTAGTTCCAGACTGCTCGGTCTAGAAGAAACCAAGGAAAAACAATATTTAGCCGCATTTAAGCTAGTCGTGGTCGCAGGCTCTCGACCCACGACCAAACCTATCTCAGTCGCAGCCGCATAGCTAGACACGCAGCCAACCCTTCCTCGATAGCAGTCACATGACTCCGACCCATGATAAATGATCACTCGACCATTACCTTTAACCTCTGGACCATCACCTCATTACACTCGACCATTACCTATTTTCACTCGAACATCACCCCATTCATCACAAACCAACACCAATCCAACACCACAACCATTCCATAACCCGTACACCAACCATATCCAGGTAAGTTTCTTTTTCCTTCCTTTTTAAATTCTCACATACTCTGTTTTCATCCTTACTCGATTTGTTTCACACTGGGGACAGTGTGATTTAAGTATAGGGGATGATTTAATTTCTTACTAACCACATTTTCTTTCATGAGTATTTGCATTCTGCATTTTTTTGCATTTTCTTTAAAAATTTTCAAAATTTTCAAAGCCTTTTCAAAGTAGAAACATGTTTTGAGGGAATAATGACAAAAATCCATGACGATAACCAACCAGGTTTCTACACTATCTTCTACGAAACATGCTCTTTCATAATTTACTTATAGACTAGGCGGTAAGTTAGAGCACTTGTGATTGCGAAGAACCCAGAGAAATTTGAATAGTCTAGATTTTTGCGTATAGAATATGATAGCTCTGTTTTATTTGAATTTAATATTGACTTAATTTCTCATTAAATGTGTTAGATCAGGGAAACGAATCATACATTCATGACTTCTTATATTTTTTACCACTCTCTGCTGATTCTGAATGGCTATTTCATCTTGCTATTTCCCTACCTTATCCTATCTCTTTCAGATCTCATGTATTCTTGTTTTCTATTGTCGTATATGAAAATATGTGCAAAAACATTGGAGAGAAAAAGAACAGCACAATTTTCAGTTTAAAAGACCCTACACTATTTGGTAAAGATGTTATAATTGAAAAGTTCAACCAAGCGTTCAATTTCACAATAAATTACAAATATTTCAGAAAACATCTTATATCATTAATTGAAAAGGACACTTAAAAAAAAACTTTTATCCCATGTATTATTTACATGAGTGCCATGTTGAGGAATCAATTTCAGAGAACTTCTCAGGAATTTTATGAAAGTAGGCTCAACTTACTAGATTAACTACATCATATTCCATTAACATTAATTTGGTTAAATATTAGTTTATATCAGTTATATATTTAATACTCAAATATTTAATTTGTAAAGACATTCTCCCTCTTTCTATTTTTTATCAACATATTTAGAAAAATTTAATACATAATATTACTTATGTTACTTAACATTATATTTTTTTTATCTCATCTTTTTTTTAAAATTTTATTTAAGAAATAAGAATGTTTTGGATGTCCTAACTGCTAAATAGCCTGACTAATTGGCTATTGGAACTGACAAATGGTTTATCCACCTCCCTACTGCTTAACCTGGAGCCCCCGTTGGGGCTTTCCTTTGTTTAAAATCCAAGAGAGAGAGAGTTGAATATCTTGTTACGCTATCATCCATCACCTTCTTATTATCTATTTAATAATAAAAAATCTAATATTTTCATATATATTATAATTTAAATTTTTTATATCAAAAGTAAAATATTTTAGTGTGATGTTGAACCGGTTAGATAAAACGTATTAATCTATTTTAGTATATTTAATATGCAATTATATTTATATAAAAAATACTATTAAAATTAATTATAAAACCAATAATTATCTAACATTTATGCAATTGTATTATAAAATAAAGAATTAACTATTATTTACAATTGCATAATCAGCACATATATTTACAATTATAAATATCAGTTAACATTTTTATAGTTGTATTTATATACATTATATTTGCATATTCAAATAAAAGAATTATAGTTAATATTTACTCAGAGGAAAAAATATTAATATTTATCCAGCACATGGTGTGGGTAATCACCTAGTAATCAATGAAAAAGAAAGTAATATACGAGTCGTATCCAAAAGTTATGGGCAATTCGGGTTGATCTTATTATATATGCGATATTTGCATATGAGTCATGGTAAAAAGATAATGAAGTAAGTATCTATATACTTATTTGTGTAGTGAAAAAGCTGATGTGTCGTGCTCATAGCAATTTTCACTGCCTTTCGCTTACGTGTCAGCTCCATAATGAATTTAGGCTATAAAAAGACTATTTAGCTATATATTGCAATTACATGTCATTTTTGTATTGGTTCTTATCTGATGATGTGTAAAAAATATAAAACGTACCGGTCCAAATTATTATGGTTTAATGTTTAATTTCATAGTCAATCAACAGTTTTTAAAATTATGTATAACCGAAATTTTAAAAAAAATTAATAAAAACGTTTTTTATAAAAAAAAAGAATAGAATTTATATCTCTTAGTGTTTACCATTTCTTATGTTTCCGAAATTTAGAAACAATTTAACAAAAATGTTAAAAAAACAAAAAATGAAAACTATTTAAAAAGTAACGTCATTTCAAAACAAAACAAAAATTTTTTTTTAAAAACTCTAACAATTTTTTAAAAAAATTTATATATATATATCTAACTAATGGAATAACGATATTTGTGATGTTTAAAACACATAAAACAGTGATCAAAATCGAATAAGTTCAGATGGTACTTCTAAAAATTACATCTAAAATACATAAAAAAGTGATCAAAAGATTTTAAAAAGATTTAAACTAAATTATTTGGATACTACTATGTTTTTATTTACTATCTTCTATTCTATACTGTTTTCACGATTATGTCTTCCAACATTAAAATGCAAGAAAATCTAACAAACAAATATACTCAATAATAAAAAAACAAATGAATCCAAACTACTATTAAATTTTTTAAACAATTAAATAGAAATTATATCAACTCGCGCAAGGCATGGAAAAGTTAACTAGTTTATATTATCAGTAACACCCACCATAGGTTAAGTAACTTAACGAATCCGTTATCAAACCAATTGATTAGTGGATTTTCCTTGTACATCGATTTAATCTATTATATTAAAATAGAAGCACTTTTAGTGCTTGTTTCCAAACACTCCCAAAATTTTTTAAAAATTATTTATATATATATATATAAATTTAATTCCGAAAATTAGATATTAATTTAGATAACTAAAAATTTCCTTAAATATAGGTTATATTTAATTTAAAATTCAAACTACTTATTTTTGTGAATAATTTAATTCTAAAAAATAGATATTAATTTAAATAGACTTCCTTAAATATAGGTTAGATTTAATTTAACATTTGAAATTTAAATAATATTTTCAGAATAACACATATGATTAACGAATATCTTATTGTATTTTGTAATCACATTCTATCAGATTAAAATTTTACATATTAAAAACGGATAAATATTAATATTATACGATAATTTGACGGGACGGGTTAAGTATTTTTTTATAATTATGATTTTATGCGGGTTAGGTTATCAAAACATGCAAGATATTAAGAGAAAATTATTTCAAAATTAGTAAATATTTATATTATATAGTAATATAAATGGGTGGGTTAGAATTATGGTTTCATAACCATGGTCTTTTTTGGATTAATAGAATGAGCGAGTTAGAAATATGTTTTTTATAATAACGGTCACTTTTTGATTAATAAAATTACTGAGTTAACATTATGTTTTTATAATCATGATCATAATAATACTGAAAAAATTAAAAAAATATATATATCTATACATAAAAATAAGTTTGATCACTTATTAAAAAATTATATCTATAAAAAAAACATAAATTAAATTATAAGTTTTGATTAAAATAAAATTCTCGTGCTTCCGCACTGGGTAAACTCTAGTGTTTTAAAACTCAAAAGCCCTAGACCGCTCGACTGGCCAAGTCTTACCTTGTAATGGGCTTCGGTTCCTTGTCTGGCGTATGATTTCCGCTTTTGTATTTGTTATTAAGTCGTTTTGTAGAAGATTCAAGATGATGATGATGATGCTTCAATCAGATCATATGATAACGATTTAGTGTGCTAATCTCTTTGTGTTTCAAAGACCTTTAAACTAAATTGTCTGCAAAGCTTTTGTATTTGATACTCACCTTCATTGTATAAATCATCATTAAGGAGATATATAACAGAACAGATTTACAGAGCCTTCACAAAGAAGAGTGACAACATAATCTGAATTCTATCTATTTGTCAGTCACAGACATAATCTTCTAGTTTGTCCTTTTAAGAACAATTCTGAATAGCTCTTGACAGACAGATTTCATGTCTGGTCTCTCTGGTGCGGGCGAGATACAGCTCAGAGCAACCTTTAAGACATCAGTAAGTACTCCAGAGGCATTCCTTGAACCTTGTGGCTCAATAATGGACGGATCAAAACACTCAACCGCACGGTTTTGTCCCACAAGCATTGCAACCCATTCAGTGAGTTCAACGACCCCTGGATCGCTGCAAACTATGTCTCCCGATACTTTCCCCGTTAAAAGCTCTAACAAAATGACCCCAAAGGCATAGACATCGCTTTTCAGGGAAGGATATGGTTTACTCGAGCTTGCAAACTCTGGAGGGCAGTAGCCGAGAGCAGCTGCATTAAAGACTTGCTCGGATGTAGCTTGTGGAGTGATTAACCGATGGAGGCTGTAATCTGTTAAGAGTGCAGTGAGTTCAGGAGGTTTCAGGAGAACATTTGTTGATTTTAGATTCCCGTGTGGAATTGCTTCTTCGTTGTGCAGGTAACTAAGACAACTGGCTATGTCCAGAGTAATTTTTAGACGGTTTTCTAGCAACAATGGTGGGAGGTTTATCAGTCCAGCCTCTGCAGACAACACATAGTGAGCGAACCATCATTGCTATGTATAGGAGATTTCATGTTTTGATCAATAAAACCAATACAATTTGTAGTAGAAAGTGATATGCAAGTCTTTACCTTGGAGGTAGAAAGCTAAACAGGGTGCATCAATGTATCTTGATATGATGAGCTTCTCGTGTTCTTTCGGTCCCCAATAGTAAGCCTGAAGAGAAACAAGATTTGGGTGCTTGATGTTCCCAAGTTTCTTTATCTCCCTTGCAAATTCCTTCTTACCTTTTGCAGTCCCTTCCCTTAACCATTTGACCGCCAATACTGAATCAGAGTTCAGCACTGCTCTGTACAGGGTTCCGTGGCAGCTCCTTCCGATAGCTTCAGCTGGAGCACGAGACAGTTCCTCCGCTGTAAGCATAAGAGAACTGTCGAAAATGTACAGGTTCCCATCCAATCTCACAGAAGTTTGGCGAGACGGATGAACATCTGGTGAATTCTGAATTTTAAACACCGATGGAGTTGAAGAAGACACCGGAGAAACTTGGGATGACACGGTTTCATCTTTCCTTAATGATGAAGAATTCTCAGAGACACTATATTGGGAGAGAAGTGGAGAGGAAACCGGTTGCTTGGCCTTGATTTGGGAAGTAAAAGTAACAGAAGAAGAAGGTTCAGTTTCTTGTACACTGTTCTTTTCTGCAATCGCATGAGAAGGAGAAGGTTCAGTTTTTTGCAGACTAGTATTTTCTCCAATCACATCCATCTTCTCTTCGTCATGTTGTTTCTTTAGCATAAAATGAAACACTGCACAAACAAGAGCAAGTAGAGCAGCACCCACGAACACGCCTATGCTTAGAGCTGCCTTCATGGAAGGTTTCATATGCTTTCCTATGGTTATATCTGCTTTATCTTTTGGCGTTTCTGGAGAAATGGGGACAATCAGTAAGGCATTCCCTGGATGAAAAGCTGAATCTGGAAATCGTCTGAGACTCTTCGGTAGATTTCCAGAGAGATTATTGGCAGAGACAATGAATACCTTTAGGCTGTCTGGGAGGCCATCAGGTATATTCCCTTCAAAGCTGTTATAAGAAAGGTCAAGAGAAACCAAATTTCGGAACCGAGTTAGTTCCTCTGAGATTACTCCACCTAAGGAGTTATGTGACAGATCAATGTTGGTCAAGCTCAGGTTTCCTGCCGTAGTTGCATCTTGAAGAGGAAGTGAACCAGATAAATTATTGGTTGACAAGTTGAGATCCGTCAACTTTGCAGACACGAACAGATTTCCCGGTAGGAAGCCCTTGAGCTGGTTGTGACTGAGATCAATCCTTTTCAACTCAGGATAAGTTCCTAAAATAAATGGTAGTAATCCCTGCAACGAATTGTTAGCAGCCTCAAGAGAAGTCAGCCTCAAAAATTGAGAAGTTTGGCCAGGTAGTGCTCCAGTGAGTGAGTTCGAACTCAATCGGATAACTTCTATGTAATCCCCCCAACTCTGTATCATTGACAAGTCTCCTGAGATATTATTGTTACTCAGATCAATAATGGCACAATGCCCTACCTTCAAGGGTAAGGATCCTGATAGTCTATTTGAAGACAAATTGAGTTTCTTTAGCGTTGAAGAGGTTATACTTCCAACAGGGCCTGCCACACAAGTGATCAAAGATATTAAACTGTTGAAAATGAAAACCAGAGTTTCACTACTAATAGAGAATTTTTTTGTACCTTCAAGTTGATTGAGGCTAAGGTCTAGCTCAGTTAAGATGGTTGAACTCTCTTGCAGAAGACCCTGTGGTAAAGAATCTGAGAACTGATTGTCCTGTAACCGAAGAATCTTGAGAGAGACAACAAAAGTGAAGACAGGAACAGAACCAGACAAGTGATTACTGCTAGCATCAAACACCTCTAAACTATCGAAAAACGGGATGCCATCATGAGCAAATAGCTGTCCAACTAGAGCGTTTCCACTCACGTTCAAGTGCCGAATCGAGGAAACAAAGGTTGACTTTGCGAGACCCAGATCAAGCCAACCCGAGAAGTTGTTCCTACTTATGTCTACAAAATCCACACTATTTAGCTGAGAAAACAAGCTCATCACTTCCCCTGAGAAACTATTTCCTTGCAAATCAACGTACTTCAACTCCTCAAGACTCCCTAAACCAGAAGGAATCACTCCTCCCAAGTCTTTGTTGCCAGAGAGATTCACAAACTCCAAACTCCTCAAATTTTCAATTCCAGAAGGTAATGAGCCATGAAACATGTTACTAGATACATCCAAATACTTAAGAGACTTGAAAGAACCAATCATGGAGAGTGTTCCAGCAAACTGATTATTCGAAATCGACAAGTTTTGAAGCTTTTGAAGACTAACAATGACAGGGAAACTGAAATTCCCAAGCAGACCTAAACCGTTCAAATCTATGGAAGTAACATCCCCACTATCACAAGAAACTCCGTACCAATTTAGCGGACATATATCAGAAGATAAAGACTTTGCATCCCAAGAAGTAAGAACTTTACCAGAAGGGTCTTTCTCTATGCCTTTCTTGAGTTCTAAAAGTGCCTTAAAGTCGGAAAAACCTGAAACGCTTATCATCACTAAGAGTAATATCATCGAACATATTGTCTGCATGGCTTAGAAAGCTTCAAGAAACGAACCAATCCAAATCGAAAAAAACACACAAACTTTTTCTCCAGGAAAGAGAAAGAAAAGAAAGAATCAAAGAGTCATGTAAACGACATTGTCAATTTCTTGAAAGGTTCGAGAAATTGAGAAGAGTTTGTGAAAAGGGGAAAGAAACTCGAACCCACCATGTGAAGTAAAGAGTAAAGAGAAAGAGCGTAGCTTTGAGAAGATAAAGGAGAGGACGTGCGGGGAAGAAGAAGGAATGTGGAATCTTTGCACTCCAATCAAAAAGCGCAATCAATGGCGGAAGATAGAATAAGACAAAAAAAGTAGGTGCTGCTCTTTAATTACTTGTAGCTCATTATTGTTATCATTAGTGCTGTTGATTTTTCGTTTCTTTCAAAGGTTACTTTTTTTATCCGAACTAGAAAGAAGATGAGATTCCAGATGCTTTCGTTGAAACAGTATTCAACTAAAAGATTTTATAAAGAAACTGGACCGTAAGTGTACAATAAGTGAAGCAAAACTAAGAAAATTTTTTTGGTGATAATAGTTAGGTGTTGGTTCACACGTTTGGTTAGGTCTGGCTATTTGGCACAAACCGAATCGAACCAAACCAACCATACTGATTTCAGCTTTGATTCGGTTTTGAGGTGCGATCGGTACTTGTTCAAGTTACTTGGCTTCTTGGTTTAGTTTGGTTCGAAATCTGAACCAAATGGTTTATCATTTTTTTTTATAATATTTGTAATTTTCCAAACCGGTTTCAATCGAAAAAATAATCTTGGATTCTGAACTAACCTAAATATACCAAATTAAATAAAACTGTACAGAATAGTTTTTAAATTTTAAATTTTTAAAATTAAAAACCAAACAAAAAAACCAAATTAAACCACCTCAATAACTGAAGAAACCGAACCAATCAAAATTGTTTTCCGGTTAGACATGGCGAGATTTATCCCAAACCAAAAGAACTGAGAAACCGAGTGAACCAAAACGAAGCTAACCGACTGATTGTCCAGCCTTACATTTGGTGATATTAAAATCTTATATTACGGTTTCCGGTTAAAATGGGTTGAGGGGGAGGGTGTTAATTTGTGGCTAGAATTTTGATATGAATTTATACTTTAAAGAAGTATGTTTTTGTGTTCAAACAGAATTTACTTAGTCTTTAATTATTCTGTTTTCAGATAATTATTATATCTGTTACTAAATACATATTTTAATTTAATTTATTTGTTTTATTTATTTTTGAAAATTAATAAAATAATATATTTAAATTTTGAAAAATTCAAATTTTAATTCAATTAATTTAGATTTTCTTAGATATAGGTTAGATTATTTATCAAAATTACAAAAATTAGTTGTTATTATCTTTATAAAAATACGAAATAGGATATTAATTTATGTTATATTTAAATTTTCAAATTTAAATAATATTTTCATGATAATAAAAATGATAATAATATAATATTATATATTTTTTCATAATCAATTTTATCTTTAAAAATAATTTTGAAAAAAAATTAAATTTTAATTCAATTAGTTTAGATTTTCTTAGATACAGGTTAGTTTAAATATTTAAATATTTAAAATTAAAAAATCTTTATATTATATGGTAACCTGAACAGATGGATAGAATTATGTTTTTATATTCATAGTCCTTTTCAGATTAATCGAATGAAGGGATTAAAATTATATTTTATTTTTGTGGTCAAATTATTTTTTAAAAAATTAAAATTATTTATCTAAACACAATAATAAATTTGTGTCATTTAGTAAAACAATATTATATTTATAAAAAAAATTACATTATAAAATTAAATTAAAAACGTAAATTTCTTGTGCGGACGCACGAGGTAGAATCCAGTTTCTATTTATAGATAAACATTGTAACTTAATTATATAATCAATCTGAGTATTTTATGAAAGACTGATAGGCATATTTTTGGTGTGTATGTGGGTTTAGCAGATATAAACGTAGAGCTCATGCAGAGTCATGGATGTTATAAGAGAAAGCATCAAGGAGTTTTAAGTACTACTAGATTTTACTTTGTGCATCCGCACGAGAATTTTTTTAATAAAAAATTGTAATAAAATTTACGTTTTCTTTATAAATATAATTTTTATAATAAATGATAAAGATTTATTTTTATGTTTAGATATAATTTGATTTTTAATTTTTTTTAGGATTATTATAACCATGATCATAAAATAAAATTCTAGTTTGGTCGTTCTATTAATCGAAAAATGACCTCTATTATAAAAACATATTTCTAACTCACTCATTCTGTTAATCCGAAAATGAATGTGGTTATAAAACCATAACTAGGTGGTACCCGCGGGCATGCGATATATACAAAACTGATTACAAAATTTGTAGAAATCGAACATTGGTAAGTATAGTTTTGAGAAACTTTCCCTTCCTTCATGTCATGTGAAAAATTTCTGCTCGAGGGAATGATCCATTTGGCGGCACATTGAGAAGAATATCCCGATCAGAAATATCATTATCTTCATAGCTAAAAAAGATTTATACTTATCAATGGCACAAATAATCCATTAGGCGGCACATCAAGAAGAAGATCCTGATCAGAAATATTATTATCTTCCATTTCATCTACTATGTATTGGTTTTTTTTCTCTGACTTCTTCTTCTGATTTTTTTTAATTAGATTTTTCAGTAGCTATTATCCAAATAGACCAATAATATTTTAAGATTATTCTTCTCATCAAATTTCATTTCGATTCTGAAGTTAGTTAATTCATTCGCTAAAAATCAAATATAGTATACGATAACATAAAAAGTATCAAGAGTTTTGAGTACTCATTTCTCTCATAATATACTTATTGTTTTGAAATGAAATGTTTTCTGCCAACATTATTAATAAGACACTAAAAATGCTTCATGTTCATCAGCAACAATCCTTATCTTCATCTACATATGATTGTACGCAGTGTTTCTCATATGTGATAATATCATCGACAAATGAAATTCATATTGCTCGATAATTTAATAAATAATTTTTTGTTGTCTCAAACATTGTAATTATAAACGTTTTTCTCTCTTCATCGTCAGAACTCTCTTCCTGTTTTGCCAGAATTGCCTCTTCTTTTTGTTGGTTCTTATATTTCTCCTAAGCAATCACAAAAAAACTTATTACTAGATCTAAATTTGAAAACAATAATTCATTAAAAATATAACTGTTATATAGACTACAACATAGTTTTTTATTATATATATATATATATATAACTATTATTCAATAAATATTATCCTCGATTAAGAATATTTAAGAATAAAGAATCATTAAATTATATTCTTTCTCACTTTTTTCTTTTTCTCTATCGTCTTTCACTTCTTTTTCTTATGATATTTGCCTTCTCTAACTTCTTATTTCTCTTTCTATTTTTTTCTTCATCTTTTTCCCCGCTATATTCTTTTGCTTCCTTCTTTCTTCATTTTTTTTATAGAATATAACTTCTTCATCATTTACGTCTTCTCTGACCTCTTCTTATTTTTATTTCTAGTTTATATTTCTTTTTCTTAGTTCTCCTTCTTCATTATTGTTGTCTTCTTCATATTCTATGACTTCTTATGGTTTTTTTTGTCTCATTTTTCATCTTTAGCTTCTTCAACTTTCTATTTTTCATATTCTGGCTTTCTTTGTACTTTTTCTTCATCCGTGTTTATTTTTCCCTGTCTTATCCTTCTTCTAATTTGTGTTCTATCCAATTTTCTCCTACTTCTACTTCGCCTTTTTCTACTTCAATATCTTCATCTCATCTTTCTTCTTATTACTTTTCTGGTTTTTTAGTTTTTTTTATCTTTGTCATATCGTGTTTTCCAACTTCTTCTTCATCAATTTTGGCTTCTTCTTTTTTTTATTCCTCTTCTATATCTTTCAAATTTACTTATTCATCGTCATTGTCTTCTTCATCTTATTATTCTTCCGGGTTCTCTTCTTCTTTTTTCTTCATTGTCTTCTTCTTCTTCTGACATGTAACCTTCTCCTTCACCTTCCGATCTTTCTTATTCATCCTCTTCGACTTCTTCTTTATTTTCCTTCATCGTCTTCTTCTTTTCTTACGATTGTTTTTTTGGTCTTAGAGTTTTTCTGTGTCTTCTTAGACCCGTTTTTATTCTTCTAATTCTCTCTCTCTCCCTTCTTCTTCATGATCATCTTTGTCTTTCCCATCTTTTTATCATTCCATGTTTTTATTCTTCCATTCGACAAATCAATTAGATTTTATTCTTCCATTAGACAAATCAATTAGCTTTTCCATCCGAACATCAACCATCTTTACAATTCCAAACAAACTTAGAAGGTATTTCTGAATAATGGAGACATATAAGCTTCAAGAACATACGATTACACTACAGCCAAGAAAAAATTGCTCAGTCGATTCTGACTATCCAAATATATATGTATAGTCAAAAAACGAAACCAGCATTTAAGGAAGATGGTACAACAGAACATGAAAACCCTAAAAAATGAAAGCAAATCAGCCGCATCAAAGAAAAGGAACCACATGCCATTACACATGTAACATTAAAACAACTAAATGGACCTCCACTATGTTCTACTTCTTCTTCAGCTTCATGAAAGGTAAATGTAGCCGGAGAAGTGACACAAAGCAAGGACCATTGCGTAGATACATGTGCTTCACATACTTACCAATACTTACATAGTTCACTGATTACCCCTTCATAATACGATACCCATTATTGTCTGCTGCTGACAACATCAGATC